TCGCATTGATCGCTGCATGGCTAATGGAGTGGCAAAATCTGAATGTCGTTATTATGACGTCTTGGATGCCTGGACGACCTTAAAATAATTTTCCGAAATAGTCTGCACGTATTCGCGGGTGTGTAGCTCAGGAGCTAGAGGAGTTTAGGTCTGAAAGGGAGTCTCCCACCTTTGGGGCATGTTTCAAAAACGTACCCTAGTAAAGCCCCATGACTAGTTACGTCTAATAATGACACTGGGTCATTGCAGCACCGTTGATATGTAATAAGGCTATCAATTTTACTTATTTTCGAGTCCAAATAACGTTCTCAACGCTTTGTAACAGCACTTCATTTCTTCCCTGCATTCGCGACCGCTGTCGTCATGACAGTTGCCGTGTGAAACTCTGCTGGTACGAATAAAATAACGTTTGTGATTTGCCCAGCGGGCTAGGGCTTGTTCCCGAGAAGCAGCCCCACCGAAGTACGTTGATAGCAAACACGTTCCACGGCGTTCTTATTTCTCCTAGCACATAGGGCTCACGCGTTAAAGGCCTGCTTTTCACAGAGTTGTGAATCGAATTCTATCTGGTCATTTTTAACGAGCCCAGCAACAAACGAAGCATTGTTGAATTGTCTTGAGCCGATCCATAGCCCATTTTTGTCCAGGAAAAGCCAAGCTCCCACAACGTATCGAGTCAAAGTTTTCGTGCACGGTACGCCGTGAATTTTCCGACTTTCGCGGTAAACAGCCTGGTTTCAGTACATCAATCGGTGGTGTGTCTGGTTCATAATGGCAAGGTTGTACGTTCCAAGTCGGTACGTTCTAGAACTTTTTTGCATTTTACCTTTAAGACATGGTAAGCTGTTTGCCGCCAACTAATGCATATTACAAATGTTGTGTAGTGCACAGCTCCTTGACAGTTTCTTTCAAAAAAGTCTGGGAGCAACATTCTTTTAAATTGCAAATGCCTCCACTATTGTGGCACCTACTACCCTCAGTTACCGGCTACCAAAAATTTAGTATGAGCTAGAAATTTAGGTTACATCGTAAATCTAGTTCATTTCTAATCTCATGCTGCTGCTTTTTAAACTGAACTTCGTTCTACCCGGCGTCTGTTACCTTGACCGAGAAGTGCATTGGTTAAAGTTTGAACCAGTGCGCCACATGGATCACGTGATGCTCACCTTCTTAAGACAAAAGTGTGCCATCGAAGAGAGCCACTGTGGTAAACGCCATAACGCCTAGGGGAAGAAACCAAAGCCATAATATAACGTTTCGTTGAATTTGCGGGATAATATATTTGTGATCGCATACATTTCTGTCTGAACAAAGCGTTTCAAGTTGTCGTTGCTCCTATTACACAGACATTTTGACACATGAGTGGGTTGCAAGCATTTACAGGACACACGCGTTGGAAAAAGCAAGACAAATGAAATGCATTTCTTTCGTAGTGGTGGACGGGAGTCTAATGAGATTTTTCCAGCAGGATCAGCTACTGCAGATGGAAATATCCAAGCTATTCAGAAAGATTTCGAGGTATTACTGACAAAACTGTACGCGTCTGATTTAACAAAAAGTGAAAAGAACAAACAAGTAGGTATACTTCCTTTTAGAAAGGCAGGGCTATGAACGCGCCGAATGATCTTCAAGATGGCTAGTTCATTTCAAAACCCCATACACATTTGGAACACTTCTTTCAGTTGCCGGGAATGAATTTTGAAAGGGCGTGACACGTTGTGATCTGCACATGATTACATGGAGATCACCGACGCGTTGACAGTTATCTCCGCCTCGAATGTTTGCATCGCTGTTAACGTCGGAGGAATTCAAAGCTCTGCCTGTTTTCATTGTTTCTGGTGTGTCTTCCAGTTTGAGTTAACATTTACAAACGAAAGACAAGTACAAGATATGTTTAGCTACCAATAGCACATCCCTTTGCGTTTGTTGAACGTAACTAATGAAGGGATCCTTATTGTTTTCATGCATGTCCATTGATGTCAGCAATGCCTATTTGCTGGTGACAGTGAGATTTGCTGTGATTTGGCCAAATGGGGAGAAAGGCGGGCCGATCCATTCGGCTGTCGTTCAGGCTGTCTGGCGCGATCTGGCCAAAGGTACACCACCATCTGTTTTGCACGCCTTGCAGGACCCGGGCTTGACCAGGCTGGGCAGCGCCTCCCAACGGCTCCAGCTGCCTGTGATCGTTCTAGCCGTCATCGTTGTTTCCCTGGTTGGGGACAGTGGGTTTTGGGCAAGCGCATTCATGGAAGGTGAGGTCGGTAGCTCTCTCCAGCCGTTATCACTCACATCCCAGCAGTACATCCCTTTGCATGACCATCTCCCGCACGACCGGAATAGTACAAACGCATTGTTAAGGGCGTTGGACGGGCATTGGATGAGCGAACGCTGTTAACACTTATAAGCTCAAGCTAAGTAAAGGAGTAGCATGGCCTCTCCATTTTTGAGGACGTTTCTGCGCCTATGATTTCAAGAAAATTTGACATCTCAAAACAATCAGCAAGTGCTCTGATTCAATGAAACTAATATTGTGGCTGAATGAACGCATGGAAGTGATTTGCTCAGTCTGCAGAAACGGTAACGGCATCATTAAAAAAAAGCATACAAGCGCTTACACCTGGCTTTTGTCCTCTGCTTCTTATCACCAGGAGCGCGGTCAGAGTCTTCGTAGGGGGCGGGGGTACAGGGTCGGCAAAGGCCTCCTGATGGTGAACAAAAACAGAAAAAAATCAGCGGATATCGATCACTTGATTTCGAGTGGACACAATTTTTTTCATTACATCTCTATTTCTACCTTCTTTATTGGACCGGAAGCCAGAAGCCACTGGACGATCCAATTGTGTTCGTGTTTTTAAGTAGAAGCTGGGCGAGCCAGACGTTAAGTGACTGCATGAGTTAAACCAACCGAATTGTTTATTTTACCACTGAACTTTTTGGCCTCGATTGATCTTGGGTGCACTTTTGCCAAATTATAGCACTCAAATGCTTGGACAGATTTGTTTTGGGTTCTACAGAGATATTAAGCAACCCGTTAGCGTAGATTCCAGATGAAAATGGGGTCAAAAATATGCTATTAACATGGCCAACCCACGTTGGTTTGGAAATGTTGAACCTTCACTCGGAATGGAGGTGTGAAAACAAGATGTAATATGTTTTAAACATGCGCGCTCACAAGTATTAAAAACAAAAAGCCCCGACGCCCAGCGTTGCAGTTTTCATGGGCCACGTGGCGTCGTCCCCGCGGCAAGTACGGGGTGACTGCCAACAGGCGAACGCCATGATGCGATTTCTATATTGATAAGGAACGTATTATCGTTTCAGCACCTCAAATGGAGCTGAAATCTGGTGGTGGAGCTGAAGGAGTAAAGGTGGAGTCTTCATTTTTAGTGTTTCTGTAACTGTTGATCTGTTCTGTCTTGTATTGGTGACCTCAACCATCTTTGGGCACCCTGGAACACTGCCCCCGACTGACTCGGAGCCTCTTGCCAACACAAGACAGCCTGCTTGTCACCTTTGTCTCCTGGCCGACATAAGTAGCTCCTCAGTGCCTCAGGGTCCCGATCGCGGGTCACAATCTAAAACGCGGGTGCCCGCCTTGTCCGTGTTTGGGGAGGGGGCCCTTAAGCTTAAGTCAACACGGAGCTGACTGTTCGATACTGGTGGTGCCTGACGGGTATAGAAATCCGATCGACTCAGAGGGCCCCGATCGGCATAAAGGGCCTAATGACTGGCATTTGAGGGCCAGATCCAGGCCAGATCCGGTCTGAGGCACCTCAATGCGTCCGCAAGTCATTCGGGCCCTTCGCGTCCCTAACTTGGGCACCTACTTGTCGGCCCCGACAGGCCCAAAAAGGCCCTCGGGACCTAAGGAGGGGAGTCCACCTGTGCACCACCATCCCCTCTGCCGGCGCCACTGCTCATCATAAAATGACATAGAAATATCATGCTTCTGCCAGTCATCATCGCGCTCCATGCAATGCAACATATTCTATGTCACAAAAGCCTGAGTGCCCAACTGAATATCACCCTCTTCGGGAAGATATTTAACCAGTGTCTGCATCGCTTTGTCATATTCCCCCCCAAACAAAGTCTGTGCTTTATCATCAAAATTAAATGCTCTGCTTTCATTATTAAAAGAAAAGTGTTCTCACGCACGATATGGAGACAAGCGATGCAAAATATCGCCACAGAGCGTTTCTGAACTAGCGTTATCTGAAGCTGGACATTTCGTGAATCTATCCGACAGATAAGCGATCACGCAAAGCGAGCAAAAATATTTTGAAGTGGCTTATTTTGCTGGTATTTGGCGATGTGGCTCATGTGCATTAGCTTGGTCACCACCCACTGAGTGCAACAACGGCACCGACTATGATTTTATAGGGACGGCAAGAAAACCGACCGTCGGGAAATGTTATCCGCGCTTTGCAAGGAAACTTTCCGATCGGGACAGATTAACTAGCTTTGAGCTATAAGAGCGCATATAGCCTGTTGCCATATGATAATACAATTCGAGTGCTAAGAATAATACAGCATGTGTTGAGGCTGTATTGCATCAAGGTAAATGAAACCAATGATAACAGAAAACAGATTTTCCTGTGCATAACGATCACTTAAATTTAAAAAGGAAAAGACGACCCCTTAGGGACATAACCACCGTGCATTTGCATAAAGGCGCAGCGGAGAGTCGCAGGATAAGAATGACTCAGCCATTCCTCCGCCAAGTTCTGGCTACCCTGGCCTGTCACAGGCGCCCCGCCTCCCGCGCGGCAGACCCTCCCACGGCCGCCGCCTGGCCGTGACAGGTGACTGCCCGGCTCCCCGACGCCACGCCTCCCGCGGGGCAGACCCTCCCACTGCCGCCGCCTGGCCGTGACAGGTGACTGCCGGACTCCCCGACGCCCGGCCTCCCGCGCGGCAGACCCTCCCACGGCCGCCGCCTGGCCGTGACAGGTGACTGCCGGACTCCCCGACGCCACGCCTCCCGCGCGTGCAGGACTCACTTGTTGTAGAGCACGATGTCCGGTAGCCAGATGTGCTCGGCGGGCACATACAGCTCGGTCACGCCGCCGTACTCCCTGGGCTCCCAGACGAACTTATGGTCCTTCCACTCCTGCAACCGGGCCACGCGCCGCCGTCAGTGCCTTTTGGTGCGCTGGTTCTGCACGGCTGGGGCCATATGACATGGGTATTGACACCTTCCCAGCACCCGGTCATCATTCCTAAATAAGGTCTGGGCTCTGATTTCATAACATATGCTCAAAAGCGATCAAACCAAGTAACCAAGAGGCGCCGGCTGAACAAAGCTATTGCACAATCATTGCAATATATTATAAAATATTCGACTTTTCCGCAAGGCTAATGGCTATACTTAACAAAAGCGCTGATGTAGATGTCTTCGTGTACCCGCGATTTCCCGGCATGCCTAAGTACGGTCAGTTTCTGCACAAGAACACATCATGCTGAAGAACCAGTCGCTGAAATGGATATCTTTAGGACATATCGCGAAAAGCCTACGTAATAAACTCAACAGGTACCGTTGAGTTTGACTCAAAATAAAAACATTGCCAAAGACATGCGTATTGCTAAATGCAGCACGAACAGGTCAACTCGTCACTTTTATAGGAAACACTTCTCGAATGCAACGTAATGGGCACATCTCAGACACTTTCGAGTGAAGCATTATTGGTTCCGTGTGTTACAGCTGTTGTGCGCCGGGAAGACAACAACCGCAACTTTGAGGCTTCTGAATAGCTGCTGAAGCTTTCCAAGGTGCCATCAGGTCCGGGGAAGTAGTTTGGGGTCGAAAGTCAGGGACAAGGCCACATAAAAGTATCGAGACGGGTTCTATCCTATTGCCCTGATGTGGGTTGATGGACCCCACCATGGTTTTCGAGGTTGTGCAATCAGTCCCAAATTTTCTGTAGTCTATGGGGCATCTACTGCAAGTGTCTTGACACCAGACGACGTATCCCTAGCCTTGTCTGGTTTCGATGCAGCGGCGGTTTTTGAGGAACACTGCAGGGCTGTCTACAGCGGCGGTTTTTGAGGAACACTGCAGGGCTGTCTACAGCGGCGGTTTTTGAGGAACACTACAGGGCTGTCTATGACCGGCGCCGGCGGCGGGCGGCAGCCGACCACGCCGCCGGAACGTGCGCGGCGGGGGGGGGGACACTGTTATATCAGAGGGAGTGTTTCATATTTGTTCGGTGGTTTGGACCGAAATAGCCGCCTTGAAGACCATTCTGCACCGTTCACAGCCATGTCCTTTTTAAGAGCTAAATCAGAGATGTTCAGACCTATTCGGAGAGAATATTGCAAGGGCACCCAGGCATCCATGACGCCATGGTACCGTCATTCAGACCCTGTAATTCCATTGTCCAAGCGGCAACCAACGCCAAGAAAGATATGATTGTCGAGTTGTTCATATCTGGCATTCGAGAACACGATTTCCAGGTATATCGGCCATCCATAGCTCCCATCAATGCTGTGTATGGTGCGATGATGCAATGAAGCAATGACGTATTGAGGTGGATATTTACTAAGTAGAGAAATTGTGTTGTCTTAAGCAGTGTTTGTAACTTCTCAACAACTATAACACTTAATTTTATTTGACCTAATAACTGCTCAACTGTAAACACCTCGAAGTATGTCAACAGTTACAAGTGAGCTTCTTTCATCACAGCTTGTGCCTGCTTCGATATTTTCAAATGTGTACCGTTCTCTTTAACGGAGTCATTTATCATTGCTGCGCGATTTTGTAGAAAATTTGAAATCTTATCTGGCCTAATGGGTCAGTTATTGACCTGTCAATAGTAAAAATAAAAAAACAGTGCCAATCGTGAGCTTTCATTGAGACCAATCCATTGGTGTTTTCCGCTAAGCTCTATCTTCATTACTTTGGAAACGCCATAAACTGCATCGACGCCCCCCCCCCCCACCCCCTCCCACCCCTCACACCCGCTCTTATCAGCCCACGTTATGAAAACGGCGAACCAGGACGGGAGTTAAGGGCGCTGTGAGGGCAGAACATAAAAAAGGATAAAAAGAGCAACTGTGCAGAGCGAACTGTGTTATTTTTTAGTGTAAACCACCTAAAACCAGAAAAAAACATAAATCACCACCACCCCATCAGCCACCCTATCGTCGTTTCACGTGACTTGCTGACGGATCGTGCCACCAGGCACAGTTTGTCCGTGTCTCATGTCGATCGGACGGAACGACTACGTAAAGTGAACGTGAGTGTAGACCTCCGTACGTCAAACGGGGTCGCAAGCGTGAAAAACCGTCACACATGGGTGTCACCGCTGTTAAGCCAATGTTTTCCCAAGGTTTGTGGCGTGAAGAGCGAGCAACTGGCAAAAGGGGAAATTATGTATTAATCAGGGACACACGCCACAGGTTTCGCGCATATGCTTTAAAAACTGGTTTGTTGGCCGATCCTCGAAAAATGAGACAAGCACATTGCGATCTTTTGACAGCTGTAAATACACATGCAATGGACGTGTAACGGATGTGACTCAAGCACATGACATGCGTTCTCTTCACCAGCCCATAATTTTATATAGAGGTGTTATCAAAATCTTTAACTGAACGACAATGTTGGCTCCAGCGATGGCCTCATCTCACCATTTCGTGCCATGTGGACAGAGCCCCCGGCACACACAATGATTAAGCGCGATGCACTGAACATGGTACCACAGCTCATTGAATTAAAACAATGTAACAAGACTAGTAGGGAATACTTGTCCACTCATGAGCCTCTATTTTAACATCCGCAAAGTGGGCGTGTCTTTTTCACTTGGCCCGCAGACTTCGAGTTCTCAAGACATCCAGGACTGATCTCGTGTAACACGTATATGGCTTATATTGAGTCATATTTAGCTTTCGCCATTACTTTGATACTTGATTGCCAGTGTAACATACAACGGAGGCGGTATAGTATATTCTGTTGTGTGTACACACATCTGGGCTTTCCAGTAAATCGCGGCTTGTGAGAAGAGCCGGAAATCCAGGCACGTAACTGCGGCTGGATTTATGGCAGTCCCCAGGGAGTCGCTTCTCATGCTGCATACGTGTGCCAGGGATTCGCTGCATAACATCACCTCCAGAGAAAACCTTCAAACGGCTAGAGATACCGCAATGTGCTTTTGATAGATTTTAAGACCGTCATCTCCGGAATACTCAGGAATGAACCCGGAAGTCTAAATTCAGATGAACCCAATCCGCTGCACGCATGAATTGCCGCGACCGCACTAAGAGCCGTAAGGGCGGGGAGGGGCACGCTGGCAACTACCCTGGATTTGTTTTAACTACTGCAACTCAAGTGTTAATGTTTAATTGGGCATCAGCGATGACATTAACGAGAGTGTTCTATGTTACCATGGGTTTTGAACTGAAATGGCGATCTTAAGATCTTTCGGGGCAGTTCACAGCCCTGCCCTTCTTAAGACCTAGACACCTACAGTTTCTGAGCCACACGCCTGCGAATATGGACAGACCATGTCGGGGAGGCTATTTGAAGATCGTCTAGGCATCCATAGAGCAGTATTGCCCTTTTAGAGGTACACCAATTCTTACAAGTGAGCTTATTTCATCATATCTGATAATTGGTTCAATATCTTCAAGTGTGAGACATTCCCTTTAAGACATGGTGATAGGTGAAGTGCGATGTTTTTTATCAAAGTGACTGCGGTGAACTGTGCAAAACCAGTGCAGGGTCGAGCAATGAACGTGAAGGAACTGGGAGCATTTTTTATCGGTTGCCACGGGTCTAGTTATTGTTAGGTCTGAAACACTTCTTGTCGCTGAATTTCATACATTATACGATGGCATGCCCATTGAGCCACGAAGTGCAATCTGAAAATTTTATGTTCTTGCTATGGGTATTGTCTGAACTGAAATCACCAAAACTTCATAGGATTACTCCCGGTGCCTCTGCTTAAAACCCGCCTGTATAAGCTTGAGAGACACTAGTTTTCTGTCAGAATGACTTGCAAAATCCCGGGTGTCATTTTTAACCTGCATTTGATGGTCTACACGGGTGTAACCTTAATGCTACAAATTCGAGGACGTAGCTACATCAACCCAATATTGCAAATACCTTAATGCCAGGTGTGACCATGGCGGTGCATAGAGAGAGTGGTCCAAAACTGGCATTTGCACGCTTAAAGGAAATGTTTCACACCTGAAGATATTACAGCAAACATTATATACCATAAAATAAGCTCACTTATTATTATGGGTATACCTTTAAGACAAAAAGGTCATTCCAGGCAACATCGTTTCTTTGTTTAATGAATATGTTCATCAATTCGTCCTTGTTTGCATACGTTATCGTACCGTGCACAACAATTAATCGAGAGTGAATTGTCGGTCGTTACATCTGGAAACCGTCTTCACGAACGCCAGATATGAACGACGTGACAATTGTGTTTTCCTTGGCCTTGATCGCCGCACGACCATTGAAATAGCAGGATTTGAATGACGTGTAATCATGGCGTCATGGATGCCTGAGTGACCTTGGAATAGTCATCGCGAAATTTTTTTTACACAATTTCGTGGGTGTGTAGCTCAGGAACTAGAGCGGTTTAGGTCTTGGGAAGGGCAGGGCTGTGAATTGCGCCGAATAATCTTCAAGTTTTTTCAAGTTCAGTCCGAAACCCGATACAAATGTGGAACACTCACATTAACATTTTTTGGAAATTTTCATTTCCAAGCCCACGAATATGCTCAAATTGATACAGGCAATGCTATTGCCGATTCGTGCGAAATCAGATTGCATCTGTCTTTCCGGCCCATCCGGTCAGGAAAATTGTAGTGCCTCGCGTAACATTGAATACAATCGTTCTCGCGTTCGTATTGGTCGCACAATCAAATACTTCACCTGCATAGAGATGGCCGTTCGTTTACACGTGCCATCGGTTTAAAGTAATGCATTGCTGGACCTCAAGTCCCGAATGCGCTGTGACAGTCAGGGCGATGATCCTCCAAAATGTTAGTAAAACCATCCATATTTGATGCAGGGCATCGCGCAATGACACGGGCTCGTATTGGAATATGTGACCATCCACAGGTGTTTTAACTCCAGTTATGGCTAGGAGACGCGCCAAA